GACAACAAGAACAACAGGGCCTTTTTCTTTCACAAATACATTAATACAGTGCCGGCCAGTAAAATTGTTTTTGAATGTACCAAATTCCTCAGTATAAATTGAATGGACTGGTACAGTACTGAAGCCATGAAGGGCACTCTATCACCAACTTGAAACAAGTAACAATAATTCATATTACCAGCCATATGCCGTATTAGCATTAATATATTAATAAAATATCAATAACCTTATCAAATCAGTATGGAGCTAATGTCTTATATTTTCAACCAAATTACATGATTTGGTTGCTTATGAAATTGAGACAAAAAACCTATTCTCTACATCTTTTATCTATCATGATTTTTAAACTCTTCTACTAGGATAGAGCTGAAGACTTCAGTGAGTTCCTTCATGAGGGGCATTAGGGAAGGGGTAGCTTCTCTTACTTTCAACAAAGGAAGAATATAATCTTAATGAACAAACTTTTAGATGTTTAACTGTAAACAGCTACATTCGATTTAAGGCCTTCCCTTCTCTAGGCCCTGGAGACAACAGCTATCTCTCACCTTAAATTATAGGAAAAATAGATTTAGCTCCTATTCAAATCTGCATAATGGAATGAAAACACCTCAATCCTGATAACCACGCGAGATGGGGTCTGTGACACTGCCTGGTGTTTTTTTTTTAATCTAGAAAAATAATAAAAACTGACAGGGTCTTCTTCAAAGACAATCTCCCGATCATCATCTCTATTGGTCAAAGAAATTTTGGTTCTCTTCCAAATTGGACCAAAACCCTTTGAGACCACAAAGACTTTTCACAGGGATCTTTTGTTTTTGACTCCAACCCATAGCTACCACTCACTCAGAACAATTTATTTGCCAAGCATCCACAGTGTTCCCTCAACTTAAATAAACTGTTGAACACACAATTTGATTGAGGCCTGCTGTTGTTGTTCCTTGTCCCTCTGGCTGACCCTATGCTGTCCAATCATCACAAAAGAGACTCAATCTCCATAATACTACAACTCACCAAATCTATTGTAACTGGAGTGATGAACTGTGGTCTAATGCTTTGGGCTAATAAAAGAACAGCATGGGTATAAAAATTAAAAACTAATTGCTATAAAGAGAGCTGAAAGGAACAGGGAATATTAAGAACAGAGGGTTCTGCAACTACTTACAAGTATTTCATTTTTCTGTCGGAATAAATAATGGATATAAAATTTGTAAGGCATTTCTGAAGAACAGGTTCCCAAGCATGCTAAAGAACAGTCAAAACTACATTTGTCAGAGTCTATTTCAAAACCACAAGAGAAAATAACAAACAACAAACAAACAAACATGGGACTTCCTGGGTGCTGCAAGCAGCCCCTGAGCTATGTAACTCTAGGGTTGCTTCCTGCCCAGCAAGGCACAGCGCAGGACAGTCAAAAGGACAGAAATGGGGCAGAGTGGATAGGCAATTGGAGGAAGAAGAAAGCAGTCCGTTACTTTACTGTGGCTTGGGGCTGAGAGGGATCAAACCCAGAATGGCATGGCTTAGAGCAAGTACTCACTCAATGACTTACAATTCTCAATTAGTAAGCAACAAGGAATGCATGAACTGCAGTCACTAAGCAATGAAGTCACATGACTTCCTGCTTTCCAACTACATCGTTTAGATTTGATGGGTTAATGGTGATGGCTTCTAACTCTCAGGTATCTGTTATTTAAATTACTGCATAACATTAGTAGCATGTGCTATTTATAAAGTATGTGTTCTGCATGTTATTTAATTAATTCATTCTTAGAAACTTGCTTAAAGATAGCTCTAATCCAGAGATTTGTTTCAAATGTTTAGTGGTAAAAGATCCAAATCTCAAAGATATACTGAACACACCCATGAAAGATATTGTTATTATTGTTTCTTAACGCATGCTGATATTGGAGCACTCAGCTTTTTCTAACTGTGTTCTGATTGGCAATACAATAGTTACATGCCCAGGTAATAACATTTTCAGTGAATAAATATTTTCTTTAATTTAATAGTTTATTTGACAAAAGTTCTCTCAACACCATGGAGTACAGTTTTTTTTTAAAAAAAAACAGGAAACAGATATCTAACTTGACACCAACCATTTTTGTTACCCAGTGATTTTATTTGAAAGCCAAATAAATAGAAAATGGTGTATTTAAAAACAAAGCTGAATCACTTAGGTCCACTGGCACTGTAGAAAATAAAGACAATGGAAATATATAGTTGGAAACATGGGCATCTACCAAGAAAAATGACCAAGATAATCTGGGGTAGTTGACAGTCTTCTAGACAGCAAATGTGGATGGAAAGGCACAAAACACTTCTTTATCTCCAGAAAAAGGATGTTTCTATCTAACCCTTTCACCATAGCATCCATTTCATGAAAAATCAAACCATTTCTCAATCACTGCCATTCTATGACACTGCCCACAAGATCTTTTAGGCATGCCCACTGTTGCAACAAAGATATCTAAGTTGGTAGTATGTTTCTTCATCAATTATTAAGCTCTTTGGGCAGAATCTTAAATTATGCCTGGGCCATCCTGTTGTTCACAGAAGCAATTTCTACTGACTGCATAAGAGAATGGTGACTGAATCTTCCTTCCCACTGCTATTAGTAGTCAACTTCAAAGTGTGCTTCACAGACTTTTCCCACTGCTTTTTGAAGAAGAATGAGGATGCACAACAAACTGCATGAAGAAAAGCAGGACAAATCCTTTTGCAAAAACAAAATGAGATTTGTACAAAAGTGAGCTGCTGGAATCAAGGGTGGTTTGTCACCCATGTAGTGCAGCCATTGCTAATTCAGAATAAATATAACCCTTTTTGCCGCACCTCAAAAACTCCTTGTATTTTATTTCCAGAGGATCCACCCAGGAGTCCCATTTTCAGGGAGTAAAAGGACTGCAGAAGTAAAGGATGACAGGAGAATTCTGCTCCCAGAACAGAATTTAAGATAAACCAACAATTATACTGTACAACCCATTTGCTAAACTAATATCATATATCAAATTTCTTCTTTGTGAATTACATATTGCTAGACCTTTTAAAAAGGTAGACTAGATGTTACAATTTGAGAAGTTAAATTATAGAAGCTAGCACACGCTGATATATACAGTCTAAGGAAATGTGTACAGTATGCCAAAACTAAATCTCAGGTTGAAATGTTTATTCTTAATGACTGAAAATGCAAAATGCAATTGGTATACAGAGCTTATATTGTAAGGCAATATAACATGGAAAATAAAACATTTATATTTATTGTATTCAGTTTATATGATCAATATGTGCTCTGTGTGTGTATGTGTGTGTCTGTCTGTTGAGGAGGGGAAGTGTCAGCTAGTGGAGACTAGTAAGTATGCCTTTTCTGCTGTAGTGCCTACCCTCTACAGCAGGGGTCCCCAAACTTGGCAACTTTAAGACTTGTGGACTTCAACTCCCAGAATTCCCCAGCCAGCCAAGTTTGGAGACCTCTGCTCTACAGCATTTGCCCTTCAGAAATAAGTATAATGTCAGCCCTATTGGCCTTTTATAAGGCCTTGAAGACCTGATTATGTGCCCAGCCTGGGACTCCATTTTGTTAATAGCAATAGAAGTAACAATGACCCTGTTTTCCGATTTTAACACCTGTGGATTATAATTTCCGATATATAATTTTATGATTTATGCTGCTGTTATATATTTGTTTTTAAAATCTGTGCTTTAATTTGTTTTAATTGATTTTATGATTGTTCACTGCCCAGAGTCACTTATTTGAGATGGGCAGCTGTATAAATCAAATAAATAAATAAAAATGTAGAAAATACAAATATTAAGATACGTATTGTTTTTAGGTGTTTCATACCTACCTCATATCTTCTGTGTTTTCTTGCCAATAGCATAGAAACCTAATTTTAAGTTTTTACTTGTAAAACAGTAACATATTCAGACAGCAAATCTTACAAAACACTCATCAGGCAACAGTCATTAAATACATTTCCCTTCTCTGTGAAAATACCATATTTTGAATTAAGATGAAGATGAGAACATGACTAAAATTTCTGGTGCCTTTTTATTCACATGTTGGTGGAAAACAGACAGAATGCAGATAATCCTCAACTTATAACCACAATTCAGAATCTGAAAGTTGAGCATACTGCATGGCTGGCTATGGTGTGGGAAGTTGGGTAGCATTTCTCAGTGGCGGCAGCAGCCCTAGGACTCAAGCCGAGATCTGAGGGTGTTGGCTAAGACAGCTGAAGGCCCAGGTTGTCTACTTCAGGCCCAGCCTTGGGCCTGCCAAGTGTTGCTGGGAAGGGCGACCTATATTGGGGGGAGTGGGATAGGTAGGTGGAGGTAGTTGTAGTGCTCCTGTGGTTATAAATCTGAGCAGGCTGCCAAGCACCTGAATTTTTATCTTGTTACTGTACAGGAGCTGTAACTTCAAACGCTGGTCATAAGTCTCTTCATTCAGCACGATAATTTCAGTTGCTGAATGAATGGTCGTAAATCAAGGGCTATCTCTAAAGGAGAAACCAAGACTATCCCAAATTTGTTTTCATATCACTGTCTCCAAATACTATTCTCACTTAATTGGAAATTTTAATGGCTTAAATGATAATTTTACAGTTCAGAATTTTATCAGTCCAAAAGTATACTATGCCTTTCCTTTGTTTTCCTTGTTTATTGCATAAGTATAATATTTGTAATCTTTTTATTGTAGATGAACATTAGGTTAATTGCAGTGTGCTCTTCTTTTTTCACTAAGGTTACAAACTGTGGATATATACCAGGAAGACTGTATTTCCTTATAAATAGGTGTAGGGCTGTAGTGTGAATGTTTTTCTGCTATTCCAACAACACAACATGCTTTACAAAGATACCAATATATTTTATAGTGATCATTATACTTATTGTTTTATTTTCCAACACCCTAAACCTGTCTGACCCTTTATATTTACTCTTTTCAATACCTAATCTTCCTTGTAGCTGCTTGATACCACCCCACACAAAAACATACTAACCTCCACTGGCTGAAGTTCTACAGCCTTCAAGATTTAGCAGGATATCATCATCTTTGTCATCTGCGGCACTTCCCAGCAGCATCCAGCTCTCCACATTATCACTTTCAGAGGATATACTTGACACATCAATTGCATCATCGCTGCTGGAGCTGTCCTCAGTTACTAAAACTCTGTGAATCATGTGAACATCATCCTGGTTATTTAAGATTGCCTTTTCATCAGCCTTTCTTGCTTTACTTGAATTTACTGTAATCTGATCCTCAGATTTCAGGATAGGCCGGGAAGGGTGTTCAATAGATTTTTTGGCACGAGAGTAAGCAGCCTTATTTAATTTACGTAATGTTGGAGACGCTGATGCTGTTAGTTTCTGGAGTTTACTTTCATAAATGCTATCTTCCTCAGGGCTATCAGACAATATTATGATATCTGAGCTGTCCGAAATGTTAACATCACAATCTGAAATGACAATTAAGTTATTTCTCTGATCTTGTTCATTCTCCGATTTTTCTTTTTTGAAGGACTTAAATTCTTCTTGTCCTTTGACATCCTTATTGTTATTTTCCCCAACATCCCCAAGGTCTTGTGCATAATGGACTTGACTGTAAAGATGAAATTCTACTTCACTATCAATGCTTGTTTCACTGGAAGACTCTTCAGAATAAGGATCATCTTCAAATGCTTCTGCATCAGCATATCCACTGAACATCATGGCAAGTATTTTATCTAGGGGGAAAAAAAGAAAAGAAAAAATGAATGAAGCCCAGCAAACCAATATAGACATTTTATCAACATAGAGAACAAGCTTTACAGTGAACAAAACTTCAGTCCATCTATTTTATGGTGCGTTTCTATGCAAGTTTCAGAGAACATTGGCTCCCTCAGTCAAGAAACAGAAATCAGCACTGGGCCTTAAGTTGGACACGACTGGACAGGAAACCTTTATCTTTTTATTCAAAATCAAACCCCAATGTGTTCAGTCGATTTTATGCTTTTGAAAGAAAACTTTTAACTCAAGGCAAAAGTCTCTATAAGATATAAGTGCATAGTGCACTAAATAAAAATACTAATACTATATACTTGTGAGAAGTGTATTCCAAGACTTATGCAAAGTCACTTGTGTTTTTCAGCAGAGGGCCAAAAACCTACTTGCCAACCAAGAATTCTGCCAGCTCTCTACTGCGTTGGATGCAGCATGAAGAAATGAGACAATGAGAGGATTCTTTATCAATTTACCCAAAAGACCTGCTTGTCAAGAATTTTTTGACAGATACAAAAGAAATGTGGTTTGGAAAATAGAAGAGGTGACTGACTTATGGTAGTCAGTGCCTGCAGTTGTGCAGATACTCCAGGTTGAATAAATTCTGCCTCCCTAGTGAAGCCCATCACATACCAGATCCCTTCCATTATTTCCTCTGCGACAAGCAATGAGGGGAAATGTTCTACCATGCAGGTGTCCCTACCCAAACAGACTTCACTAATTTGAATAATTTAATGAGTCAATAGTTTTTATAAAATTAACCAGTTTAAATATAAATACTAAAGTTATATGAATATTTCTGTTTATGTTTATCCATTAATTTTAATGGATAAAAAAAGAGAGAAAACACTCAAAAAAACAATTTCCCTTGAAGTCTTTAAGAAATCCAGGCCCCGTGTTCTCTTGAGAGGAAGGAGAGACAGTAATAGTTCCGGCACATAATTGGAATCCATTCAGATGGTAACTAACATAGCCCAGACAAGGAACAATAGAAGACATACATGTTAAACAAATGAGAAAAAAATTCCAATTCTTTTCATCAAGCTCTCTGGAGATCACTAAGCTCTGACCTCACTGAGCATTTCAGTAATTTATAAATGTTGTTAAATATTTACACATCACTTTTCCAGCTGATTAAAGTGGCTTACAACCAACAAACACAATAAACAGTATCGAAAATGTATAATCTTCCAATTAATCCACCACATCGACCAAAACCTAGCCTTTAAAAATATTTTTACGTTACTGTACACACTTATTAAAAAAAACAACAACAACAACAACAACAAATAGCAGCCAATTTATTTCTCAAAAGATACCTGAGTTTTGGAACAGTCATTGTGAAAACTCTGTATTAGGTTGTGTAATCTTGCCAACAAGTAAGCCAAAAAAATCTCCCTATTTGTTTTATTTTTATACTGTCAAATTCAAAATGACACCCAGCAGTTTAATTCACAAAAATATAAAACAAGTAAAATCTAAAAATTACTATAATATAAATAATACAATATATAACAAAATAATACAACCTCACACACCTGAAGGAAGACTAAAAAATGCTAATGTTGGGCCAAATTGGGTAGGTTAAGTAATTGGGAGTTGGGGGTGATTTTTCGCCTCCAGATTTTGTTCTATTGTACTTTATTAATTTATTTGATTCTTTTTTTAGTTTTTATTTTTAAATATGATTTTACATTCTGTAAGCCGCCTCGAGTCACCATGGGCGAATAGGCGGCAATATAAATTCAATAAATAAATAAAATAAATAAGACACTTCTAGACAGAGAAAGCAGTCTTGTTAATAACCCAATGGCAAGTTAAACAGGCTTTGTGGGACAAAACCAGCACTTTGAACCTGAAATCTATCAATAATCAATGCAGCAACCATAAAACAGGTATTATACGATTGTGATTTTGACTTGTTAACATACAAGCTACTATATTTTGTACCAGTTGTAAGTAGTCTTCAGAGGTAGCTCCATCTAGAGCACATTGCAGTGATTCAAATAATAACAATAGCACTTGGACTTATATACCGCTCCATAGTGCTTTATAGCACTCTCTGGGTAGTTTACAAATGTCAGCATATTGCTTCAACAATCTGGATCCTTGGTGTACCAACCTCAGAGGGATGGAAAGCTGAGTCAACCTTGAGCCCATCAAGATCAAATTTATGGCTGTGGGCAGAGTTAGCCTGCAATACTGCATTCTAACCACTGCGCCACCACAGCTCCTAATAAATATATGCATGAATCACTATGACAAAATCTTCCCAGTCCAAGTAAGGCCACAATTGGCACGCAGCCAAATTTGGGAACAGGTTCCCCCAGCCGCAACTTCTATTTTGAAGTAGCCATAAGTCAAGGAAGAGCACCAAGTTGGAGATAAGCTCCTTCAAGATCTATTCCTTCTGCATAAGCAGTAACTTGTCTTGCATGGGTTCAGATGGTTTCGGCCTACATCAGTAGTGACTGAAGTTTTTGGGCTCCAGTGCCAAAAATTGTGCATGCGCTCACATGCCAGCACCCAGAAGGCAATGCACACGTCCCCCCCAAGCAGCCTGCGGATACATACGCAATCCCCCCCACCGCCACCCCCTTACCTGCACTGTGCCTCCCAGCTGATTTTCGGCCCATTTGAGGCCTTTTTTGGCCTCCCAGAGGCTTGAGGAAATCTTCTGCAGGCTTTGCAGGCCAAAAAATGGGCCTGTTTCATCACTTCCTGTATTTCTGGATATACAGGAAGTGATGAAACGGACCTATTTTTCAGCCTGCAAAGGCTTTCCTCAAGCCTCTGGTAGGCCAAAAAAGACCTCAAATGGGCCGAAAATCAGCTGGGAGGCGCGAGCATGCGCACTGAGTTAAGTTTGCCTGCGGTTCACATGCCAGCACAAATGGCTCTGCGTGCCACCTGTGGCAGGCGTGCCATAGGTTCGCCATCACGGGCCTGTATCATCTCATCCAAATCCAAACAGCCTCCAAACACCACTTTTTCCAAAGCATCTCCAATTCACAGAGTTCAGACTATATGAATGCTGTTATATTTTTATCCTGCACGCTTTACATATTTTGGGCAACTCAAAGCAGTCAACATGCCTCCTATTTTCCCCCAAACTAACAGCCATATAGCATGGACTGGACTGACTGGCCCAAAGTCAACTAGCTGGCTTTCATACCTAAGGGAGGCCAAGAACACACAACTCCTGCTTTCTAGGCTAGCACTTTATAGTACCAATACACAAACTGGCAATACCAAAATGTATTGTCACCGGACCGACAGTTTCTCACCCTGAACCAATGGATGACCTATATTAACTGCTAATAAATGTTTATAATGTAGGACCAAAATAAGTCTTCTCTCATGAAGAGAAACAGTTCAGGTAATATGAGAATCCCGTACAAAAAAAGCTGGGATGTACTGAGGTCTTCCAGATTATCAGAAGTACCAACATCACACACTGGCTGAAAATGATGGAATGTACATTTCAATAATATTCACAAGACTGCAAGTTACCCAAATGTAAAGCCAATATTCTACCATGGGATTTAAAAACCAAAGGACAGCCAATGAAGTATAAATGATGATGAATACTTGCAGTTTCAGATACCTCTCAATACATCCATAGGATTCTTGATCAGCTGAGATTTCAAATAGCTTTCAATTACAATCTTGACTCAGGCTTTCAAGTTACAAGAGGATGGCAACAAAAGGTCAATTGACATTTTCATCCCTGGAAACAACTGAAATTATAATCTATTGTCTGCCATTCAAATAACTGTGATGTTTAAATGTGCTTTTAGGACTTTAACAATGACTTGTAAGAGTTTTTACCTCTGGAATTCATTTCAATATTGGGGAAACCCAATCCAAAAGCTAGGGTTTTATAAAAATTATTAATCAGAGGTCAAATGCAGTCCTGGAAGAATCTTACATAATTCTTTACAAAGTAGAAGTTTACCTAGGAATAATGGGCATTTAATATTTCTTCTGAAAGATCACACTCATCAGCAATTAACAGGTTTTCACTCCCTAAAATAAATTTGGGTCTAGTTGACAAATCTGATTTCTGCATACTCAAATATTCTGAAACGGTATATCAAGCCTATTGATGTAACTGTAAAAGATGATTCCAATGTCCTCAGTTTAGAGTCTGATAGCTATATCCAAATTTGATCAAATTTCAAATCAGCAAAGATCCAACAAAGGTACTGAAGTAAGCATCTGTTTAAATTCTTCTAGATTTAACTCTAAAATGTAATACATCACACTATAGTGAATTGTTCCAATGTTCTGTTAGGGGTAAAAATAATTGTTATCATCATTATATTTTTAAATCCCAATGGAATGGCTGGTTAGGTTCAAGTGTAGATAGTCAGGTACTGACACAAAATCCCCTCTATGTACACTAACTCCCCAGAGATATAACATAATGAATTCCATGACATAAGACAAGATCCCTTTCTAGAGAAGCAGCAGAATTCCATCAGATTCTACTCAGTGTCTTCATTATTGCACTGACAGTTAAATACTATTAATACTGCAGAACAAAAGGATTCATACATTTCACAGAGGGAACAGCTTCCATACAACCTGATTCCCCCCCACCTTTCTTTGCCAAGTTCTTCTGAATAGGTCATGATTACCTTAGTTGTCCAAGCCAGTTCATGAGCTGGCATAGTTCAAAAGAAAATTACCAGGTTTGGCATTAGTAAACAATTCTTGAAAGCTGTTTATTTGTGTAAAGCATGACTTCTCCAAGTAAACACCATCTCAAGCTTATATTTTAAAAAAGCCAAGGTTCACAGAAGATAATGAGCTACTATGTCTGCAGCTTGCAAGCCCTCGGCCTACAATAGTCCACCTTGCCAATCCTTGTTCTTTTGGCAAGCAACATTATCTGACAAACATTGTAATACATCAATCATATTTTAGCAAATAGAGACAAATCTTCATATTATAACACACACACCCAAAACTTGTCACATGTAATATATAATCTATCTAATAGTTTAGGAAACCTAACAAGACCTAGCACAATGACAGGTAGATGGCTTGTTATCCAAAAGTTCACACACTTAATTTTCCACACACTGTACTAATTCATATGAGCCTAAGGCTATCCAGGTATTTCTAACAAGAATTCTTTTCATATAAAACATGATGAAAGCATGGTTTATTAAGTCAAGGTTCTTAAACCAAGTCATACTCCCCAATGATGCAGCATGGCATCATTTGTGAATCAATGTTAGATCAAGCAAAGATTAAACTATCCCTCATTAAAGATTTGCAGGAACATTTTTAAGAATAAAGAAATCAGAGTTATTACAGCATAGACACGAAGCACTTTGTTTCTTCTGCTCATCTTAAATCAGTTATCTATACAGTACACGAGAAACCATTTAGTGATTAAAATATCAGTCTAGAAACTTGGAGAGTGAATTCTAATCACACCTTAGGCACAAAGACAGCTGGGTGATTCTGATCCAGTCATTCTCTCAGCCTTAGGAAGGAGGCAATGGAAATGACTTCTGAAAAATGTTGCCAAGAAAACTGCAGGGACTGGCCAATCCAATCACCAAAAGTCAACAACTGATTTGAAACCACATACATATACAATACATAACACAATAAAATAAAATAAAAAACAGTACATTTGAAGTTGTTTTATATAAACGTAGGCCATCAGCGGATGTCTACCCTATAGATAGCATCTCTTCAAAGTTTTAAACAGAAACTGTAAAGTAAGCCTGAAAAGATTTCTGTTTAAAACTTTGAAGAGTTTGAAACAGAAATCTTTTCAGGCTTACTTTACAATTATCAAAGTTTGAATCCACAATCTTTTACAAACCTATTTAGCTAAGCATTAGTGTTATTAAAAGTATTACAGTTATCTGACAAAAATAGAATGCAATTCTACTTTCCTAAAGAAAAATTTAAAAATCTGAAAACGGGGTAAGAAATTTAGTATAGCCTTATAGCCAAGAAATCTAGTACAGCCTTATAGCCAAATGTTTTCAGTTTTCAGTTCCAATTCCCATAATTCCTGCTTGTTATGCTGATTGGGGCTTATGAGAGATGTAATCCAAAACATCTGGAAAGTACCCTAGCTTTAAGGAGAAAAAAGGGCATGGGAAGAACCAAACAAATAAGTCACCATCTTTAACCAACCAATTTTGTCCTTGTGGAATATTCTTACCTCAGTAATGTAAAATACTATAAGGTGCTATCTTGACTACTTATTAATAGCCTATTTCATAGATGAGCAAATCTATAGTCAAAGCTGCATGCTCACAGTAACTCACTGGCTAGGATGGAATTTTAATAAACATTTCCTCAAAGTAAAAATGTAACACGCTTATGCGAACTTCTGAAATAAGCAGATATTAAATGTTTTAGATTATCTGACACCAGGGAAATAAAAAAAATATCCCACATTACCCATTCTTTATTTGCTGAGAAAAATGAAATAGGTAAACTATAGAAAAAAAGAAAGCTCTCCTAACAGGACAGCAACATTATTCAGGTTCAGACTTTATCTTCATTTCTCCAACAACGAATTAAAGGTAAGCTTATGCCAATTTAACTTTTGTGATTTGGTTGTATTTTGGTATTCCTTGACAAGAATTTATGGGCTACACATATTTTTATTTCACTCATATTTCATCCATTAATTTAAAATAGGACCCATATTTCTTTAATTTTTATTTTTGTCTGACAGTTGGTGAATGGTCCAGATTAGCCAGTAAGCTTCCTCCCTTACTAACTACACTTGAGATCTCTTTGATATTAACTTTGGTAGCACTGCCTAGCATTATTTTGTTATTGGTTTCTTCCAGAAATTGGTTTCTTCTGTGCTATCAGAGGGAGGGAGGGAGAAGTCTTCCTATTTCTTAGAAACTGAAAAATAGGTTTACATTTTCTTTTCTATTTGACACTTTAACTCCTCCAGCACTACTACTGCGTATTTCTTCCCTAATGTACGAATATACAACTATATACAAATTTTAAAGCCAGAAAAGCTGAGAAGCCTTCAAACCTCATCAGGCTTTGCTTCTCTCCATGAGATATTCCTAGGCTGCAGCAACAAGGAGAAAAGCTACTCTCCTGGTTCAGTTACAACAGGTAATTTCTTAAGCATCGTAACATTTAGGAATCAGCGCTTTACTCTTTCGTCCTCTCTCCAATGTCTTCTTGTGTCCAGTCTCATGAAATTGTAACCCTAAAGACACACACACATACACTTTTGTTTGCATTGACCAGGAAACCACCTTAAGACCCCTTTCTGGCTAAACCCCCGAGATAAATAAATGGAATAATCAATATGCACAAATGCCTCGTGGTATGCAATTTAGCCAATTCTGCAAAACCGGGGGGTTGGGGGTGGAATTAGGGACAATGTTTCTCCGATCCTTCCCTAAGAAACATCCTGTATCCCCCCGGAAATAACCTCCCCCCCAAAACACAAAACTTGGCTCTGACTTTAGTCTTTCCTTTCTGCTTTATGTCCTCCTGCCTTGGCAACTGACCAAAGGATGAGCTTTTGGTGCGTAGACGTTCTAAAATGGGGAAGGGGAGGGGGAGGGGGCGAAATAGGAACAAAAGCCAAGTCCTCAGGCTTAAGGCGGGGGGGGTGGGCGGGGGGGGAAAGAGAGACGAATCGACGAATTCATGGCCTCCTTCGCCCATGTTACTCACTAGCGCTGCCTGCTGCAAACCAGGAAACCCCTCGAGACCGGAACAGCCGCCACCAAAGACCCCTCCTCCCGCCCTCTCACGTCGAACTGCGCTTCCGCCCGCTGAGCAAAGGAAAAGGAGGCCGGCGCAGCGCATTAGGTAACTCAGCTATTGCGCCTGCGCTTCGGGAAGGCGGCGGCGGTTGTGGGGGGGGGGAGTATCACGCCGGCCAGGACGCAAGCGAAAGCACGCGCCGCTGCCACTTCGGTGAGGTCACACGGCTGGCCTCAGCACGTGCGCTTGGTGTTGTTTTCGAGCATCCAGCATTCCTAAGCATCGCGAAAGGAATTATGGGTGCGTGTGTGTGGGTGGGTCTATATCGGTATAGAATGAAGGGCCACCTAGAATGGTGACCGGGTCTTTTTCATTGATCTTTGTGGATTCAGAACTAATAATTTGGGGAGTTTGCTAAAACAAATCCAGCCCATGGCTTCCAATTCAGCCTTCTTGAACCGGCTGGATCAAGTTGATGGGTCTTGGGGCTCTGCTCTCTAGGGAGCACCATTAAGGACTCTGGGAGGTGGTTCAAGCAGTTTGCCAAGTGTTGCTCAGATGCTCTGGACCAGGGTTCTCCAACCTTGGCAACTTTAAAAGACTTGTGGACTTCAACTCCTGGGAGTTGAAGTCCACAAGTCTTAAAGTTGCCAAGATTTGAGATCCCTTCCTCTGGACTACAACTGCCATCGTGGTAGCTAGGAGTTCTGGGGTTTGTAGTCCAACGCCTTAGAGAAAAGGGTATTTCCTCCCCCCCACCCTTTTTTTTTAAAAGAAGATGGATACAGATTTGTCCAAAAGGCCTTGAATTTGGGGGGGGGGGGCGGGGGGTTCCTTCCAGTAACTGGTGGTTAACACACATTTCCTTCATTGTTTGTAGATTCTGCCACTTGTTTTGGAATGGGATTTTTTTTAACTTGCTAAACTGAAGAAAAAATGTTGTAATACAACACAACTGATGCAACCCTGGGATTCTGGTGGCTTGAGAGCATTGCCATATCTTTTTATCCATTAACCTTTCTGAATTTTTTAACTTTGATTTTTTACTTTTAACTTATAATCCCAAAGGTGCTTTTTCAAGAGGCAAGTGGACTTTCTGGCTTTTCTCTGAAGACGTTTCACTTCTCATCAAAGAAGCTTCTTGGATGAGAAGTGAAACATCTTCAGAGAAAAACCAAAAAGTCCACTTGCCTCTTGAAAAAGCACCTTTGGGACAACCTGGATCTGGATGACTGAGAATCTCCATAGACTTTTAATGTGTAAGTTGTAACTTGTTCCTAACTCTTTAATTTGTGGTTTTATTCAAAGTTTTTATTATTTTATTATGTTGTAAACTGCCTAGAGTCATCTAGATGAGATGGGCAGTATAGAAAATTGATTAAATAAACAAGTGAACATGATACATAAAAGGAGGCATATGATTCTAAAGCTGGTAAGAGATGTAAATCAACTAAATCGGTTTTCTCCAATCTTCCAATGTCTTTTTCAATTGAAGTCTTAACTCCCAGATGAGTAACCTGTCTCTTCGTTCCAAAGCCTGACAGTCAGTTTTTGGTGATCATCTGTAATTTTCTCAGCTTACAAAATAAGAGCTGCAACCATGTGTAAATTCACAGTTCCACTGATACAGAGTTCATGCAAGTAGACTGCATGAATAATATTTTGAGAAAGTGAGCTGGCAGCTATTTATCAGAGTGATGATTGTAACTTTATATAGTTATCTACTGGGCACAGTTCAGAAAAAGTGAATATGGCCAAATTCCATGCTTAGGCATCGTAAAATTCTGTGGAATGAATCCACAGGCTCCATCCAACAGAAAAAGGATTTCAGAATCTAATCACAGATTTTTCTGCAAAGTTAAAATGTCATTTCTGCTATTCCAAATGATTTCTGATGGTAGTCAACCTTGACTTATTCTATATATTTTTATGCATATACAAAATTCCATTGTGATAGGAAAGCTTGATTTGCCTAATAGAGGTAAAAATACATTCCAAGGGGGGGAGTCATAGAAGAATATATAAAAATCATGCAAAATGTATCTGCATCAAGTAAAAAAGGCAAAAGCTTTAAAAACTAGGAGATATACACATAGACACACACACACACACATATATATACATTCCATATGTGATAAATGGCTTACTATCAATATTCTTCTCTCCCGAATTCTGAATCTAATTGTGAGTCTGCTGACAAAAGAATTTCTGTACATTAACACTTGTTATCTTGATTATTTTTGGTATCTCTTGGTCTCTGGGAAGACACTAGCTAAGACTCTTTAGAAATTAAAGATTGAACTACTGGGACTAATGTACATCAGCCATTAAAATATTAAAAGGTAGTTCAATAATGTTGAAGGAATTGATCGATATCACATTACCTATAGCAAAGGGAGAGGAAGAAATAATATACCTAAGAGTAACCTAAGAGTAAAATAGGTGGCAAATAAATTTAATGATACATCAATATCCCACTTTAATATTGAGAATTGCATAGTGCATAAATTCATATGTCCTTTTTAGTCTAATAATGTATCTAATGTATATAATAAAGCTAAAAAGCCAGTTTGATGTAGTGGCATCAGGTTTGAAAGCAGGGAATTGTGAGTTCTACTTCCACCTTAGCCAAGAAAGTCAGTTGGGTGATTTTGGGCTGGTCACTCTTTCAGCCCAATCCATCTCATGGGATGTGGTGGGAAAATAAAAAAAGGCCAGTGTGTTGGATAGGTTTTCTGCCTTGAGTTATTTGTAAAAATAGCAAAGGTGGGATACAAATAAATAAACAGAAAAAATGTAAAATTAAAATCTTAAATCAGGCACTGGTAAATATAAATATTGAAAGGTACCAATATTCCTATAGACTTTTGGTACTTTCAAGCTATTCGGCTCATCTAATTCTAGTTTCAACCAGAATAGAGCTGGAATGGATTTTGGAGGTCTTTTATTCCAATCCCCTGTTCAAGTAGGAGACCCTATACCATTTCAGACAAGTGACTGTCCAGTCTCTTCTTTAAAACCTCCAGTGATGAAGCACCCACAATTTCTGATGGCAAGCTGTTCCACTGGTTAATTGTCCTCACTGTTAGGAAGTTTCTCCTTAATTCCAGGTTACATTCTTTTATTTTATTAAATAAGATTTTAAATAAACAAGATATCGGGCAATAGCATCATCTCTATTTACAGGAATGCTTCTAGTTGCTAAGAAGGTCACCAGAGGCATTTCTGGGGGCGGGGGAGAGATAAATGTAACCCAATGCTTGTTTTGAAGTGTGTGAAATTATTGTAAGGGCAATCGAAAGATTAAAGGAGTGGTGTTGAAATGGTGTTCCCACATTCAATGAAATGCTGCTATTTCAGATAACTTATTGGAACTTGCTTAGCACTGTAAAAATTATTTAATCATTTATAGTAGTAGGGCCATGCTGATTCTTAAATGTGAACTGGAGATTTTGTCACTTCATTTGAAACAGTAGAGATTAACAGCAACAGCACTTAGACTTATATACCCCTTCATAGTGCTGTTACAGCCCTCTCTAAGCTGTTTTACAGAGTCAGCATATTGCCCCCAACAATCTGGGTCCTCATTTTACCTACCTTGGAAGGATGGAAGGCTGAGTCAACCTTGAGCCTGGTGGGATTTAACTGCCAAATTGCAGGCAACTGGTGCTTAGCAAAAGTGGCCTGCAGTACAGCACTCTAACCACTGCGCCACTGAGGTTCTTTAAGGTGTTGCCTTAGGACTGAAGAGTGTCAGGTTCAAGTCCACTCTTACATAAGTTGTGGGTTATTTTAGGGCTGTTATTCTTTCTTACCCCCAACATACTGTACCTCATAGGGTTATTGGTATAAGGACAAATGGGAGAAAGCAATACAACAGAGGTGTCAAACTGGCGGCCCATGAGCCAAATGTATCATATGCAGGCCACACCCACCCCAGCTCCGCAAATGGGGAAAAATTGTGAAACATCACGTGAAACGTGACGTGGCAAGTTTGACACCTGTGCATTGCAATGTCAGCCTGAGTTAAAATTAAATTAGACCTAAATTTAACCGTCCAATTTATCTAATCTTAAAAGCTGCGTTATGGGATTGTATTTTCTTTGGTTATTTTTGCATTAATACAAAAGGAACTGGCCTAGGAATACAAAAGGAACTGGCCTATATGTAATGGTATATCATAGGGCAGTTTAATTTATTTTGTTTTAATTTGATGCAGAAACCAACTTCTTTGTTTTTTATAAATTGGTCTATGTCATACCTACTGTACTACTTGAACTTCTGATCTTGGACTGAGTCTTCTGCCTACTACTGAGTTCTGCTTCATCTGACCACCTTTGTTAGACTGCTTACTGGAACATTGACTGGAATCAAAATATTATGGTTTGATTGTCTGCAACAGAAACAGAAGAATGGATCTCAATTCACGGTTTGTTACAACAGATATTTATAAGAGGACCTGCTTACATTTCACTGAAGGGTAGATAATGAAATTCTTCCTCAATCTGGCTATTGGTTTCCATTTGGCTTGATGAGTTTGAAGCAATGTTCCATCTGGTAGCATCAGGATTCAGAGCAATATGTCAGTTAATACAGAATATGGGTCTTTTAACTTAAAATTTACCTTAATTTCTGTCCTAAAAGTTATCTCTTGTTTATGTGCTAATTGCCAAAATGTTTGGGGTTTTTTACTAAGTTGATTTTAAAGGATGCATGGCTTTGCCATTTATAATACAAATAATATAAATATTTCAAGATAGCACACCAGGCCCCAAACTCTTTAGTTCATGTACAGATTCTGTACATAAATTCAGCTTCACTTTCCTTGGATCTAGGTCATGCTATTTGTTGTATTTTATATGCTATATGCTTTTCAGACTCAGGTGGCTTTTATTTTTTAGCTTTAGGCCTGCAACCTTCATAGTTGCTAGAACTGCCAAGTGGCCCTGATTATATACATTCTTGGTAAGTGTAGATCAAGAAATTGTCAGTGGATACTGAAACATTCTCCAGGTCTTCTAAAAATGTAGACATTGCCCTTTGAAAAACTCAGGAATAATAGAAAAATCTGTCAAATGG